TCTACAAAAGTTTTAAAAAGTTGTAATATTTCAAAAACATAATAAGAAATGAAAATATCAATGACAACTTTGAAATGGTGACCAAATGTAATAAAATAAATATTGATTTACGTTACCTGATCGTGCGATGGGATAATTATAACGGTGGACAGTAGCCAGACTTGAGGGGCAATGGTGTATGGTGTTTATTTGTAGGAAAAGAATAGGTCGGTTGTCCCTCCCCCTCCTTATCCTCCTCCCTTAGCTACGGGTCTAGTTACAATGATATCAAATAATTTGAGTTTAATTCAGAATTGTAGATTTAAGTTTAGGATCATATTAGATAAAGAAATTCAAGATGTCAGGCCGTATTTCCTGTTATTTCTGTGTAATTTACTATTCTGTTGTTGATAACACCCGAACTCGTCTTAAATAACACAATTAACACTTAGTTTGAATAGAATGAAACCTCGAGCCTAATGAGTTTTATATGATGACATTACAATTAGCGACTTCTCCTATTGAAATGGAAATGATAAAATGGTTAATGAGGATAAAATTTACACTGATTACATCTAAATATTGTAATGAAATTTATAATGTGCGACTGATAATTGTTGGTTAAGTTTATTGTGAACGGAAGTGAATTTGGTGCGGGGCTAACATGGCAGAAATGTAAAGTGATACAAAGTTTAATGAATACCTTTATCATATTTACTGATAATTCCATCTAAATATTGTAATGAAATTTATAATGTGCGGCTGTAATTGTTGGTTAAGTTTATTGTGAACGGAAGTGAATTTGGTGCGGGGCTAACATGGCAGAAATGTAAAGTGATACAAAGTTTAATGAGTACCCTTATCATATTTACTGATAATTCTATCTAAATATTCTATTGACATTTATTATTTGTGGCTGTCTGTGATTGTTGTTTTGGTCACTTTAAGTTTAGTGTGGTCCTATCTTTTGATTGTGAGCGGAAGTGAATTTGGTGCGGGGCTAACATGGTAAAAATGATAAAAGAATTTAAATAAATATCAAGCATCTAAGTATTTTTTTGGACATTTCTAATGTATCACTTTTTTTTAAATGATTCAAAATTTGCTGCGGTTCTACTTTCTTAATGTAGGCGGAAGTGAATTTGGTGCGGTGCTGCAAACATGGCAGCAAGAAATGTAAAATGATAAAATAATTTAATCAATATCATCTAGGTATTTTTTGACATTTATAATGTATCGTTTTTAATTACTTTAAAATTAATGGTTTATTGTGAATGAAAGTACATTTGGTGCGGGGTTGAAAATGTGACAGAAATGTAAAATGATAAATGCTGATCATATGAACATGATTACATCTAAATATTGTTTGACATGTATAATGTGTCGATATTAATCATTTTGAAATGAATTAAAATTTAGTGCGGTTCTACTTTCTGAGTGAAGGCGGGAGTGAATTTGGTGCAGAGCTGCAAATATGACTGTAGTGATGAATCTAAATCGTTCTTGCTATGGTGCATGTTCATTAAGCAAAGTTAAATGATAATGATCATCAAGTTAGATGTGAATAATCGTAACACTGTAAGGAAAGGCTATAGCCGTGCTTTAAGCAGCAATCGGCTAATAATACTACATAATCGAGATAACTCGAAAACAACTAAGTGAAAAAATTAATAAAAAAATTACAGAAGTTGTTCGGAATAGAAGAGTACATTTAATAAAAAAAATGGCGACCGAAATAACATTATTAATAAGTTTAAAAGTTTACAGACAAACCCTTGATTATTTGAGTTGACATTTAAGTTAATTTCTGAAAAGTATGATTTGTCGCATTTCGTCTCGATGAGGTAATAATTTGTGTGCGGAGCTGTAAATACAAAATGGCTGACGCTACATAACCTAACTATAATTATAGCTCAATCAAGTTGTGGATTTCTGATGTTGAAATAAGCATTCTAATTATTTCCCTATATTGTTCCACACGTTCTGATGACCAATATCGACTTGTAATTAGTTAAAATAATGCCGGGCTAACAACAATCTTATAGTTCCTCAGTCACTCGATCTGTCATCACGTTCAGTAAATATAACTTCTACTATCTTGTAAAAGGCTTCTAGATGACAATAGAAAAAACACTCTCTGATATCTAACCTTAGTTTTTATAAAACAACTTAATGATTTAGTTTTATGGTCGATTACTGGACACTGTGCGGAGAGTGCAATAAAATAACAAAGTACGAATATAAAATTTAAAAATTTGTTCGATATTCTTGAACATGGCTTCTTGATGACAGTATAAAAACCCTATCTGACATCTAATCTTGGTTTTTAAGATTGACGTTCGTGATCCGGTATTGTAAGCGATTTGATGACTACCACGTGAATACGCTAGTACTAGTAGATAGCATAATACAGAAACGTCTGACGTAAAACTTCATTTCAGTTTCAGCGAAATTGATACACAACATCCACGGCGTATGATCATCACAACGCTTTGGGTAGACCTGTTTGTATTTTGTGCGAAGGCGGAGTAGAGTTCTAGATAACACAATCCCACTGTAGGCATCATTACCTGCTGATAGTAAAATATCTGATTAAAATATCGTCTCGTTAGGAAATTAATATAGTGAAAATAATAAACAATAGTAAAGTAATTATTACATATCATTAACGTATCATTAAATTAATTTCTATTATCCTGAATGCATTGAGTCCGAATTTAAATGACCAACAATGTCAACATAAACTGGTCTACATAAATCATTTTAACGATAGGTCTGTTGCTCAGGTCGGGGTGGGGCGAGGGACAACGACATTTATTCATCCATCGAGTTAAATAGATGAAAAATACGAAGGAAAAATTCTAGAAGTGCCGGAGTCACAACCAGAAGACTAACATTAGCGTTTTTCATGAACTATTGTGACTTTTCAAACATTTGAGAAATCGAGGGAAAAGGGGTTGAAACTAAGAAGGAACTATATTTTTTTGTCAGGGACAATTCTTATATTGACAGAGCTTATAAGGAATCACGGAATGTAGCTATTTGATTGGATTGTACGCCAGCGAATCAGGCCAATGAGAGCCCTCGATGGACATTGTGGCTTTGTGTTCAAAGACTATCTTTCTAGGCCTGTGATTGGCTGTATTCGTTTGCATACAATCCAATCAAATCGCCTCATCTACAATCTGCCATGATGCATTAAAGGTGGCTCTTGCAGTCAAGGTATAAGTATGAAGATCGTAATAGATTGATACTGAGAAGACGGGTTGTGGATAGAACTATTCAATGAAGAGTCAAAATAACCAACTCCTTATTCGCACAATTATGACGACTTTTTCAAGAAAAAGAATATAACTGTTTTAATGGTGGTTATTCGTGTTATCGGAGAATAAGACTGAAACCTAATGAATATTTGATGGCGGTGTCTTCACTCGATAAAAATAATTAGCTGCTATCTCATCATCGTTTTATCATTCTACAGTTGTTGAAAGGCAATGTGCAAAAAGGCCAATAATTATTATGAAGTTCATCTGATAGATCGGGAAGAACAAGTCGTTGATTATCATTCTACGTTTCTCATTCTTAGATTGGCAGTTACATCGAAATGAAATGAATGGAGTTTTACGACCTACTTTTCTCCACCTAATGGGTTATTGAAGATGGGCAACGCCATGCGGGGTGTTATGAGGTTAATTGCCAGGACAGCGGCATTAGCCTGCTCTTTTTAGATTTCGAACTGTAGCACATAACCTGTAGCACAGGTCCCGGTTTATTGTGTCATCTGTACAACGCTTTTTCCATGTAGAGTTAACTCTAGACGTACTGACATCAAACTCTTTATAGTCAGGACAGGCAGTTTTCGTCAGGAGTTATCTAGAACCCTCCAAGCCTTAAAAAGTTTACTTTCATTTCTTTGATCCTGTCAATGATATTAAAAAAAGGGCCATTTTAAGGTTCAACATATATATAGACCATGAGAATCAATTAGATTTGTATCAACTCAAAATATCTTGAATAACAATATCGGAATTTGATTACTTCGATGAAGAACTGACAAAAAGTTATACACACTAAGACTAGCTCAACTTTACATCCAATCAGTATTGCTTAAATTACTATTTAGAGGATCACTTTATGGTAACAAATTTTACAGTCACGTGACATTTTGAATGACAGCTAGAGTTAGGTTCTGCCTATCTTTACCACTAAAACTTGACTTAATGTGACCTAACTGTGATTAACTGTCCACAATCCATGCTCCTATTTAGCCTTTACTTATTCACGTCGACCATTACTTGGCCATAACTATCAAGGTTGTCTCTGCCATCAAACTCATAATTTGAAGTTGAATTAATTTTCAATTACACGAGACGTGGTATTGAATACCATCATTCTTAAAACAGTGACAGCTATTAGTTTAATACTCCACATTAAAGTCAAAAGACTGTTTCTATTACAAGTGACCCATAAAACAGTAGGATGTGACGTTAATTAACTTTCTGACAGTATACTGAGTTCTAGAGATATTCTCCTTATCAACGTGTCAATATTTGTCAAGCATCGTCTTTACAACCACGGTTAAAGATACCAATAGACGAGGCACGGTGTCCGGTGTGGGATTATTTTTAAACCGACAGTTAAAGATCCTGATAGACGAGGTTTTGATCCGGTTTGGCGTCGATTATTCTCTTTTGTTTAGGTTATTTCGAAACGGACACCTCCCGGACACTCAGCGGATACCATACCAGAAACGAGGAAACGTATCTATCTATCTAAATAGAATGATGTTTTACATTCATTTCAATGGACATGCACGGCTGATTCATCTTTGGTTTTACCCAAAAAAAAAAAAAAAAAAAAAAAAAAATTCATACTGATATTTTTCAAACAATTTCTGACTATTACATCTGAACGATCAAACAAAATGACTTAATTAATCTCGGTACAAATGGTCCTGTTCATTTTCTCTCTAGAAAAACTCTTTTAAACATCTCTCACTAGATTCTCTCTAGAACATCTCTCTAGAACGTCTCTCTAGAACATCTCTTTTTAACATCTCTTTTTAACATTTCTTTTGAACAACTCTCTCTAGAACATCTCTTTTTAACATCTCTTTTTAACATCTCTCTAGAACAACTCTCTCTAGAACAACTCTCTCTAGAACATCTCTCTAGAACATCTCTTTTTAACATCTCTCTAGAACATCTCTCTAGAACAACTCTCTCTAGAACATCTCTCTAGAACATCTCTTTTTAACATCTCTCTAGAACATCTCTTTTTAACATCTCTCTAGAACATCTCTCTAGAACAACTCTCTCTAGAACATCTCTCTAGAACATCTCTTTTTAACATCTCTCTAGAACATCTCTCTAGAACAACTCTCTCTAGAACATCTCTCTAGAACATCTCTTTTTAACATCTCTCTAGAACAACTCTCTCTAGAACATCTCTCTAGAACATCTCTTTTTAACATCTCTCTAGAACATCTCTCTAGAACAACTCTCTCTAGAACATCTCTCTAGAACATCTCTTTTTAACATAGTATTAACCTGATAGACAGTGCTCTAACTATTGGCATGAAGTTAACTCATAAATCCACATTACGACAATCACGACAAATTGGTTCTTGCTGGCATGTCGATATCCCCGTGTCATTCATTGCGACTCTGGCACGACCTGCTGTCACTGGCACGTCACTCAAACCTATCTCACTTCCGTTTCTACACACAGTAATAGTTCTTTTTGTAACAATCAACAAACACGGTAATAGTTTTATTACAACTTTTATTACACTGGTGTTTGTAAGCGGGGGTTTGTTATTCTTTGAACTGAGTATTATCGAGTTCTACATATTAGTACCGTTTGTAAGGGTAAGGGTATATTTGGAATATATTCTTTGAATCTTGAATCGTATTAAGTTCTAAATGCCAATGGCGTTTGTAAGGTGGCACGGGCATAATTTCAAAATTGTTAAGAACTTGGTACTGTTAGTCTCCCTCCCTTGACAATTCTATTCTAATAAGTGTATGTTTATTTCCTGATAAAGGAATGAATTAAATAGAAAACTGAATACTATTTGTCCGTTAATAAAGTTTTATTACTTCCATTGAAGAATAGTATAGCTATAATAAATAATCAGAACTCGCATTAACATTTTAAAAGTACATTGTACAATTTAAAGATATAATAACAACTGACAAAACAGGGTCGGTATGTAGTCCGTTCTTTTATTCATCTGTCTAAACTCTTGTATTATTTTATAAGTTACATAAAACATTCAATAAATAAACCAAATACTACCGATCCGGACCGCTAAACGAAACCTAGAATCCAAAACAACATATTGGTAATGGATTTATATTAGCTTTTAAAGCTTGTTTCCAAAACCATATGTTTATATATATGTATGTTGTAATATTTGTAATTCTTGAATAAATATTGTTTAAAAAAAAATACATATTGGCAAAACATTGGTAGCAACTAATAAACATCAATCATAAGTGAGTAAGTATTTTATAATGAAAATATTAAACAGCACAAAAGAGAAATTTCTTGGTTTCTTTTAAAATTGTCTGGAAAGACTAGAATTGTGAAAAGAGTTTTCTTCTACGACTCGCCATCAACTTGAACCACTGTTGATTGTCGAAGAAGTTTTAAAAGGTTCTAAAGTGAATTTGAAGTCGACAATAATGAATTAACCAAGCGGAGTAAAGTTTAAAAATGCTTTTAGTTTCATTATCGACCAGCAACACCGTGCAATATGTCATAAACTGGTTCTCAAGAGACAATATTATAATAATGATAAGTTTCTGGTGGTAAATGATAAGATATAATTATACATAGTAACCATTATCTATTATTATTATGTGAATAAAATTGTGGAAATATACTCCTAACCCTTCGGTTTTAAGCTCTCAAAAATGTCATATAGTTTTTTTGCATTTAGTTTATTTAATGCAGATCATAGCCTATTAAAGAAGGGATTGTAAAAGGTTTTCTAAAAAGAATTATGTGTATCGGATACACTGACAGCATCAATTTGTACCATTTCAATTTTCAATCAGACGTCTGTATTCCTGATATTCAACATATTTTATAGAAATTTTACAATTCAGTTTCCAATATCAATGAAGACGACAGGGACAATTTATCAGGACAGTTGCAATAACCTACTCTTTTATCCATTTCAAATCTGTCGACGAGTAGGTAACGTGGGAGGCCCGTAACCAGTCCAATGTACCAAGAGAGGCGGGGTGGGGAGGGGGGCATTTTCATTTGCATGGGGGGCAATAGCTGAGAGAATTTTACAGGGGGCGAATATAGATACAGACCTGTAACGCGGTCTCTGACGCCCAGGCTTATCCTGTTTATTACTAGCTGGGCAAAGAAGGGCTGGACGATAAAAGCTAAAGTAGCCTCGATTTATTGCGTAAAATCTTCCCTGTTCAATAACCTCACCGAGGAGGACGTAGGAAAGCGACAATAGCCTACTCTAAAACAATCTTTTAAATATCAAGATATCATCATCATTAGAAAACACGTGTTCATTAATCGCCCGAGGGTGGGGGGGGGGGGAATAGAACGTAGGAAAGCGGCCGTAGCCTTTTCGTTAACTATTTTAAAATATCAAGGGGCAGCAGAATACGGGTCCTCGTCCTCTGTGGTCAGCCTAATCGAGATCTGATAAATAGAACGCAAAACTTCATTCTATCTGCCATTTTACAAGAGTAAAGTCGAACTAAAAAACTCTAGCAAGAAAAAGAAAGAAGAATGTGAGAAAGAATTCTGAAGTTGTGACTAAATGTCGAATGTAGAAAAAGTGTTAATATGAATTAATAATGAATCGAGAGAATTGAAACAATGGCTGAACATCGTTTCTCTTTTAAAGACTTGTAAAGAATTCATTGTAATATTCTCTCTTGGTTTACATGTTCTTGATATAGATCTATATATGTACGGTTATCTGTCTGAAACGTTTTTTATATATTTTGAATATTTTCATTCGAAACGAATTATGAGGACAAGAATCTTCTTTGTCTCCATATACAACTGTCGAGGGATCTTTATCGTGCACAGCTTTTACCATAAGGTGCTTTGGTTTATTGTCCCATCCGAACGACCACAAGACGCTCTTTCCAAAACAGCTCTTTTGACCTGGATCATTGAGAAAGAGAAAGGCGGTGGAAGTTTTGGGTTGGAGGTATACCACTGGCTTCGATCTATACCAGTATTGAACCCTTGGATTGATAAGACCTTCAAGTTAGCAAGGAAGCGCCTAGCTCACTGAAACATTGCGACCTCGGTACAATGGTTTAACGAGATTAGTGGGGGCCAGTGGACTAAAATGTGTGTTGGGTCCTCTCCCTTGGATGTTTTTTTAATATATGCTCTCCTGCAATTTTTTTCTGAAGGTTTGTGGACTTTGTTCAGCCAGTCTCTCTGTATAGACTTAGAAAGACATTGTCCTAATTGATTACCCAATAAAGAAAATAAGAAATGGTAGTTGTAACCGGTGGCTCGGTAGCGAAATGCAGACGAGGTACAACCGAACTTTTTCAAAAGGATTCTCTTGACCACTTGCACCTTTGCAAATATGTTAATAATAGAACATGATAAACATGGTAATGTACCAAGTGGTATAGAATGATGAACGATACAAGATGAGAAATGAGTGTCTCCTCGGTTGGATTCAGTTGAGATATTTATCCAGTACAGACCAAGAGAAGAGGAGTCTATAACTTGCAGGAATAAATAATTCTGTTGATAAATGGTTTCTATATACTGCACCAGTTGATGATATTTATAAAATATAGAAGGGAATTGGTTGAATGTAAAATCTCATTCATTAAACCGGAAGGGGACATTTTTGCCAAATAAGGTTTTGTTTCTTAAAGATGATGTAATTTTTTATTTATATATAATCCTTGGAAAAGTTTCGTTCGAAGCCTGACTATCTGTAACGTAATATAAACATTCGCAGTATTTCTTATATCCGGTTAGATGGTTTGGATCTACTACAGTGGTGGTTCTACGGGGAGCCAGAGAGCCATGTCTCCCCCTCCCAAATAAGGGGCTGGCCCGTCTTTGCCCCCCGCCCTAAATTCAATTTTTTTTTATCAATTCAAACAGTGGAAGCATGGCCTGTGCTATCCCTGGAAAATTTTGTGGCCCCTGCTCGGCCCCCTCAACTAATTTTTCCTAGAATTTTTCCTACTACTCGACAGGGAACTAGCCTGATTTCCAGTTTTAACACTTTCTCTACTAATGAAACACAAGATAGGAAGTAAGTGATACTAAACAAACTATCAAATCCTTCGAGACGAAATTTAAGAGCCATATTAGAATTTGAGCTGAATAATTACTTTGAGAGAGTTGTCTTTCCGGGATACCTGATACCATTAAGATGTGGAGGATCATTTCAGCATCAAGAACTTGTTATTACTATGATACCTTTTACCAACTGTACGTCGAGTCACCGAGATCAGATAACAGAGCCACAAATTTTATTGTAGAGTCAGTCAACTCAGATAACAGAGCCACAAGTTTTATGGTAGAGTCAGTCAACTCAGATAACAGAACGTCTAGTCTGTTAGGTTTACCTAGTAGTAGCGGGTATCGCAAGCAGACTATGATTACTCTTTTCGAAACACTTGATGGTTCTCTTTGGATTAGTCCACTACTACATGTATACTCCCGATTTTGAAATTCTTTGAACAAGATTTTTGATTGACAGAAATGTCTTGCTTGTACGGATTTTAATTGTGAGTCGAGTCAGTAAGATGAGATAACAGAGCGTTAGGTTTGTTCTTGAAATAAGAAAAATGAGTTGTTACTTAATCTTCTCCAGAACATAATTATTTATTGATTTAATTAGAACAAAAATACTTCCTTTCTTCTTTTAATCAGATTACTCGTTCCTTTAATAAATTACTTACTATTCTTAGTAACATTCCGCTTGTTCTGGCTACCGTACAGTTTGATTACAGATTTCAATCACCCGAAACGAAATCCGATTAGATGTGAATCCTTACGTTGGTGACGAATACTCTCGTGTCTTGTCAGGGGAGTGATGGTTCAGAAGGTGTAGGTTGATATAGTTCCCTTTATATTACAAAATTAACATAATACCTAGACATAAACTCATTATTCATGCATGTACGAAACACAGGGATCTGAGAGGTCAGTTTTATTCAACATTGACAAGTGATGCTTAATACTTCCCCGGTTTGATTACAATTTCAACCATCTGAAATGAAATCCGATTAGTTGTAAATCATTAGACGTTCATTGCTGGTAGCAACTACTAGTTCCTTGTCCAATAAGTATCATGGTTCTGGTACTGCCCTGAGAAAATATCGTGTCGAAAAAGCTAGATGGTTGTAAACTATGCTCAGGCCGAAAGACAGTTTTCTAAGATCAGATAAATATCGTTCTCTTTTCAATACGTAAAAAGTTCATTTGCTGCTACCAATGTTTCACCAATATGTTGTT